TTGCTTTTTGCAAGAATTTCAAATCAATGATTTTCAGACGCTAAAATTTCCTATACTAATTTTTGTGCCCCCCTCCCCCCGCTGATGCAAGAAAAACAAGATTTTTAACCAAAATTTCGAACGTGCTAAAAAGGATGAAAAATATAATTAAATAATAAAAATATTTTGGTCTTTCCTATTAACCCTTTGATCCCTGACCACTGTTTTACCGGTGGTAGAGAAAAATGACGTAATGCCCAGCCACCGCTTGAACAGGGGTAGAGAAAAATGACTTAATGTTCAGCAACCGATTGAATGGTGGGTAAATATTTTTATATATCTACCGTGAAACATTACTTACGTATTATGTGCGAATATTGACTCAGCGAATTAGTGGAAATACATCGTTTAAATTAATATGTTTAAACCATACTTTTTCATCAGAGCCTAATCCGAATAACGACTTACACATATTTTCGTCTTCTTTATATCTGTACGAGTAATAGATAGTGGCTCGAGTTGAGAAATCAGAGATTGTCATAATAGGAATGGTAAAGTAAAGGAGTGGATGAAGGCTTTTGGTGAGCAAACGACAACAAACCGGATATTGACTATCTCTGGTGTGTTGGTCTATATTAACAGTAGGTCGTTTTTTTTTAGATCTAGTTTTATAAGCAGTACTTACCTGCTTACCCAAGTGTTGGGTCGACAAACACTTGTATGTGAACACATTGCTTATCCTTCTTTGGATTTTGTCAAGAACCTCAAGATGAATAGCAAGAACACCAGCCCAGATATGGCAACAATTTAATGCACAGATGAATGGTAGATTTGTAAAAGTTAGATTTCTGACAAGTAAAACCTTCTGGCACAACACAGTGAGCCAAATTTCCTTGCAGTAGATGCAGCTATTGCTTTGATGTAATCATTCCACTTTTCAAGTCAGTTGAAAACATGAGGCAAAGAAGGTGCAGTGTGTTGCTCACCAGGAATCTAGCCACAGTCATGCAGATGGCAAGCAGGAAAGTTTTTCTATGGTGGTTAAATAAAAGCAGTTTTGTCTTGGAGGCATTACACACACACATATCAAATCCTGGTGAACAATTCATATGTGAAATTTAAATCCTATATATATATATACATATGTGTGTGTGTCTGATTGAATAAATAAATTACAAATATTATATCTGCTTATTTTTTTCATAATTGTTTCATATTCACAAATATTTTTCCATATATTACAATCAACTAAGGCAAGAAATGCACTAAAACAGTGAGAATCACTTTTATTTCCCAAAATACTTCCCATCTCTTTCTGAGATCATCCTCAGTAGGGCAACTGGTAAGGAAAAAACTATGTGTAGCTACTCATTACTGATTTTTTTCCCTTTGCATTTAAATGCAACAGCTGACAGTTATGCTTTAGTGTTTATTAGAACATGAAAAGCTATCCGTTATGGACTTTTTCCTTTTATTTTGAAATGTCATGGCCGAGCATGCATTAAAGCATGAAAATTGTTTTTTTATAGGTATTTTAGAAAATTATTACAATATTCATAGCTGATTCTATTCAGTATCAGCTTCAATTTTTTAATGTAGATTACTTTGAGGATCTGTAGTTTTAATTTGTTATTTTCTTGGTGTAGGATAGCTGTGTTATCAATCAGTATTTTTCTATACTGTGAATGTGGACAGGAATGTTGGTGTAAATGTCTCACAATGGATGAAGGATCAGACATGTGTAAAGTAAAACGTTTTCATAATGTAGTTGTTGTATATCCAACATTTATATTAGTTTTTATATCAGAGATATATTCTCTCAAGGGACATTTGAATTGATATATAACATTGGTTTTATTATACATCATTTGGTGAGAAGGAGTTATTGCAAATAATTAAATTGTTTGTATTGTGTTTTGTATTATATATGATTAATTTTAGTTTTTCATTGGGATCTATATATTGGTACAAATGAGGTTTTTTATGATTTTCTCATCATGTTTGCAGTTAGCATGCATCTGATTACAATATAAGAGTTTGATATATTTAGGTTCCTTTGAGAAAGTACCATGTTCTTTTTGACGTGTTGAGGTTTTTGATAAACTGTCTTATTTGTTCATCCACAATATGGTTAGGGAAGTCATTATTTTTTAGAGTCTGCTTAATATATTTTAGTTCAGTGTAGAAAATCTTTTTTGAGGTGGGATTAATTTGTGCTCAGTTAATTAAATTTTGTATAAGTTCTATTTTGTAGTAATTAGGACATTCACTCTTATAGCTGAGAGTGCAAGAGTTTTTGCTGGTTGGTCTTTTATATGGGGAGGTAGTAAATATATTATATTTGTCAAGGAAATGGATTTTGCTATCTTTAAGTTCATATGTGAACTTGAGGACAGATTTTTTGAAAGTTTTTTTTGGAGTTCAAGTATTTTTTCTATGTTTTTAACTAAAATAAGAATAACATCTACATATCTTAGGTAGACGGAGGATTTCTTGGTGGTGCTAAATATATTATATTTAAGGTTGACCATGTAGAAGTTGCTGATTGTTGGACCCAGAAGTGAACCCATAGAAACACCGTCTCGTTGCACATATATGTTATTTCTGTGATCATAGAATGAGACTTTGGTGGTACAGGTTAAAAGTAATTTTTTTATTATTCTAAGTTTTTAATGGAAGGAAAAATGAATTGTTATATATATTTTTAATAATAATATCAATGGTTTATCTAACTGGAATGTTAGGGAACAGATTTTCAATATCAAATGATGCTATGGTTTCATTATTAGGCTTTTCAGTTTTTAATATTTGTATAAGTTCAAAGGTTGATTTAATGCCATATTTGTTAGGTATGTATGGAGTAATTAATTGGTTAAGCATTTTAGTTGGTAAACAGGAGTCGGAATTTGGGATATAATAAGGTGGATTGGAAAGTTAGGTTTGTGCATTTTAATGGAACCATAAAAGTTGCCAATTATTTTGGTAAGTTTTTTATTGTTTTGTTTTACATTGTTAGCTGTGATTAATTTATTAATTTTTGCTTTTAGTTGAGTAGTAGGATTATTAGTAAGTTTTCTAAATTTGATGGGATCATCAAGTAACTGTTCAATATTTGATTTGTAGTCAGACTTGTTTAAAACAACAAAGATGTTTGCTGTATCATATTTCTTAATTACTATTTCAGAATGGTTACGTAATTCTTTTACAGCAATCTTAACCAATTAATTTAGGAGTTTAGATTAATTTTTTTATCATGTTTGTCTTTTATTCAGCCTTAAGTAGATCACAGATTTTCTGGTTCTGTGTTAATTAGCTGCTGTTCTTAGAGTTTAATTATATTTTAGTACAGTGTCTCAGTCTCATTTTTTTATGTAATCCATATATTTTGTATATATAGCAGTCCAAGTTCAAGTAGTTCTTTTTGGTTTTCAGTTAAATCATAGTCAGAGATGTTTATAAATTTTTCAAAGTTATTATATATAGCTCCGTTATATAATGTCTTGACTTTTCTTTGAATTTTTAACCTATGTTGACATTCCAACTTGTTAGTAATTTCTGTTTGTCTATTTAGAATTTGTTTAAGCTGTTCAGAGGTGTTTGTCCTTTTTAGTGGGTTATGTATCTCCTGCTTCTGTTTGCAGAGAGTTATTAAGTTATCATTAGTTACTTTGATCTGCTTTTTCATAAGGCCACATTTAAATTGCCAGACGATGTTGTTCTGGTTGGCTGCTGGATTATATAATTTAAAATTTGTGCATTTAGGCAGCAAATTCTCTTTTAGACATGTCTGATTGAATAAATTACAAACATTATGTCTGCTTATTTTTATCATAATCCTTTCACATTCAATTTTAATATACAGAAAAATATTCGTGAATATGAAAGGATTAGGATAAAAATAAGCAGACATAATGTTTAATTCTCAAAGTCAAAGGAAGACATTGCCAATTAAGTGAAAAATCATATTGTTCTACTACTTCCCAACCAGTGTTTTGAAAAGCATTTGTTGTTATTCTTTGTTGACATCAATAATGGATCTAATATTGAGACAAACTTGTGAACATAGCAAGCTGGTTGAATATACATACAGCAGAACTTGGATGTCATCACAGCTTGTGCAGTGACATGCAAAAATGAATCATCACATTTGGTTGCCATGACAAGGCAATATTGACATTAAGTTGTTACGAAAAAAAAAAAAAAGCAGAACTTAAAAAAAAAGAAAAGAAAAACACAATGTGGAAGTGGAGAAGAAAAAGTGAACTGTTGAAAAATAAAGAACTTAAAAAAAAAATAAATTTTGTTGAAAAAAAAGATCAGAATAAAAAAATAAATTGTTAAAAGAATAAGAAAAAGAGAGAAAAAGTTAACATTCATTTTTCGCTTGTTGATTCAAATTCGCACTTGCCAAGCCAAGAAAGACAGAAGGGAAAGGAGGACAAACACAAAAAAGAAAAAGAAAACAATCGATATCAAGGTAAGAGTTTTTTTTAATCTCCCCCCCACCCTCTGACTACCTCACTATCTGACCAGTCATAATTTTTTTTTTTTGCATTTTGATCAGTGACATTTATTTTTATTTTATTGATTTAGTGGTATTTTTTTCTTTTAGTGATAGTAATATTTTTTTAATGTTTAATTTTTTATATATAACTATGGGTATATTAGACATTAATGCTACTCCCCACCCCATCCCTAGAGTGGTGTCAGGTGGTTCCTGGCTTCTTATACATTCAGGAAAGCATTCAAAATTTCAGGTTTGGAGTGAAACACTGAAAAGAAAGCCAGAATCCATAATCTAATGTTGGCAGAAACTGTCAATTAGCTAATGATTATTCAGATGGCACTGTTTCCAAATATATAAGTTTATTCCAAGACAAAAATCCTGCAGCTAGTTGGATGGACCTCTTACAACAGCTAGCAATTCAATAAAGAGAATACATAAGTGCAACTGATGCTGCCAGGTAATTAGAATTAGAATGGGCAAGATGGAAACATTGTCAGAACTAGCTAGTAGAGTTCTAAACTTGACCAAAAATAGGATGCTGTACAGAGAGAAGAGGAAGCCATTCAAAAAGCAACTGCCAGAATATTATACAGATTCCATAAGAAGCACATTTGAAAGGAAAGATACAGCCAGGACAGCCTCCAATACACTTGCAGAAGCATTTACAGTGGCACAAAGGAGCTACAAACTGTTTGAGCCCCCCTAAAGGCACGCACATGGGGTGGGATAGCTTGTTAGGGAAAGAGAGAAACCAGGTCTCAATAGAAGAGAACAGTGGGGTTGTGGTTGATCTAGTACTAGTTATAGTAAAAGGGGTCACTTACCTGAGAGGAATAAAGAGAAACCTTACCTAGGTACCAGGTGAATGGTTCGTGGGGAGTGTGGACAGTCTGGTCATTTAAAAAAAGGACTGTACCCAGGGAAGGTGTGCATTTGCTCTGTTCAGTCAGGAAGCTGATTTAACATGTAAGGCAATGGTGGGGGGAAAGGAAAAGGCATTAATAGATAGAGGGGCATCCATTTCACTGATTAGATCTAGAGATTATTTTTAAGTAGGATTTAGAGAAAACGAGCTAGATGTTACGAAACTAAAAATATTTCAAGTAGATGAAAGAGAAATTAAGATATCAGGAGTAGTACACCTTTATGTAGAGGTGAGAGGGGGGCAGTCACAGTGCAGCAAATGTATGTGAGACCCACTATGATACTAGGTAGGTATTGGCTTCAAAGTAATGAAGCGATGATAAGCCTCAACTCATCACATCCACTGCTAAAGATCAGTAAAAGAGAAATACCCTTAGGAGGAAGGAAGGGTTTTATCATTGTCCTTTGTTGTATTTTTTACACCTGACTGACAAGCAAAAGACAAGGCCAAAAGAAAAAAAAGAAAGAAAGCAAGAAACATAATCATTATAAAGTGAGACATGGAATTTGTGCATCTTATTTTATGAGGAAAGCCATGTGATGATACTCCCCATATTCTTTTGTTTTTGTCTCAATGTGGTAAGCTAAAATTTCAATTTTATCAGGATGGGGCATTATGAAATGGGAAAAATTTGAAGAGGTGGTTAAAGTCCCCTTGTTTATTTTGGAAGGGAGTAGAAATGAAGATTCCTCTGATCTGAGTTATTTGAAGGAGTGTTTAAAATCCCTTTTGTTTTATGGTATTGTTTTTCACTTTGGAAGGTCTGGAGAGTGACACTTCTAGGGACGTTTGAAATCCTCTTGTGATGGCTTGAACAGAAGAGAAGGGCTGATAACCATTCTCTGGTATATTATGATGTTTCAGGTGATGAGAGGCTGTCCGGAATTTATCCCTCTTTGGGTTGAACAACCTTCAGAGGTGGTTGAGGTCTATCTGCATATTTTTTTTTTTTATGGAACTATGTAGAGTTCCATGTTTTGAGCTGCAAATGAAATATTGCTTTTGTATTTATTTGCTTTATTTATTTTAATTTAAAAAAATTTGTTTTTTATTGATTGTTCTGTAGTTTTGTTGTTGCAATTTATATAATAAATGACAAAATTTGGTGAGGGGGGATGATAGCAATACAATTTCTCATACATCCTTAGAAGACAGATAAATAAATTCTTTTTCCTTTTAAGCCAATTTAATGACCAGGGTTTCTTAGGAATCTTGTTTCCAGCCCATCTTTGAGTCAATTTAATGACCAGGATTTTTCAGGTATTCTGTCTCCAGCCCACCTTTGAATTGACAAGCATAAAAGTTTGTTAGTGATTTTAGATAATCATAAAAGTAGAGTCGTTTGAAAAACTCACCACCCAAAAGCTGAATGTGTGGTCCAAATGGAGGTATAGAGGTGGTGTGCCTCCAGCCAGTATCCATTTAATGAGTAGTGAGTAAGTCAGCAGGAAAGGACCAGCAGTAAGTAAGTCAGCAGTCACTAAGACAGGCAGTATATGTAAGGGTCCTTTTTCCATGGTCAGAAGTTAGTGAAATAGTCGAAGGAAGACATTGCCAATTAAGTGAAAAATCATATTGTTCTACTACTTCCCAATTAGTGTCTTGAAAAGCATTTGTTGTTATTCTTTGTTGACGTCAATCACGGACCTAATACCGAGACAAACCTGTGAACATAGCGAGCCAGAGGTATATGCATACAGCCGACTCTGGATGTCATCACAGCTTATACAGTGATGTTGCAGAAATGAATCATCACATAAAAATCTTTCATTAAATATGACAGACAAGGAAAATTTAATTATATATATATATATACATTTTATCATTTAAATATTACTTTTAGTGGATAGCCATATTTGAGTAGATAGTTTGTTTTTTATTAAATAGTATATTTATTTTTTGTCTACTAGCCTGAATATTCTCCAATAATAACTATAATTTTAATAAAGAAAAGATGTAGCCTCTGGCAGGATTCAAACCTGTGTCACCCTAGGAGAAATTGTCATTAGATCTGACTTGCTTTAGACCAACTTAGCCATAAAATATCTCGCTGATCAAGCAAAACCAAATAGTGCCTTTAAGCATAAATTTCTTCAAAAATTCTTGAAACATTTACATCTATTCTATTTCATAACCTAACATAAACAAATTTCTAAAGAAGCAGTGAACTTTTTATTTATTAATCCGACCAATTTTATCACTACATATAACATATATTTTGGATTAATAAATAAAAGAAACCCATTGTGTGTGTGTGTGTGTGTGTGTGTGTGTGTGTGTGTGTGTGCAGCAAGAGACAAAAAGTTATTTCCCCTTGACCCAAAAGAAAAGGCTTGTAACAACAAAACAGCAAGTAGATATAAGCAAACCTTGTATTAAGAATTTTGAATATAAAATATATACATACAAGTGTTTTTTATATGAAGACTTCTGTGTTTTGTTTGAACTTTTCATATATTTATGTTGTCTTCTGTTTCATACACTTTAAATGAGGTCTACATATTCCTGCACAACATATATATATATATATATATGAAATGTCTTTATTTCTGTAAGGTCTTTGGAACAGGTGTATACCAGTTTATTTTAGACTGAGTAGACTCATAACCTAATTTTTTATTTAAATTAATGGAATGTAAATTTTTAATGTCCACCACAATAAATGGCTCAATATCTTTGGACAAATACTTCAGTGACAATACGAACATTATTGTTTTTGCACACCCTCGCCCTCGATATTTAGGGTCTACATACAACATGCCAATGCCCCCATACTCTTGTCCAAGAGCATAGGCTACAGGTTGATTCATGGAATTATACAGGCAGGCAGTTGGGTAAGTATCTATGAGTAACTTAATAAATTCTTTGTAGTTGTCAAATTTGTCTTCTTCTGTATATTCCCAATTCTGAGCAACCAGTTCGGCATATTCTGGAGTGAGACTCCCAACAGTAAGATCAGCTGGGGTAGGCCTACAAAAATTAAAATTCTGAAATTTAGTTTGACTATATGTACATATGTATATTGGAAAACAATATACAGTAATCCCTCAATTAATGTGGCTAATGTGTACATTAAAAGATATGCATTAATTGAAAACAAATTAATTGAATATAATAACTTATAGGAAATGATGTAATTTGTACCTCAAATTTTAGTCTCATTCACAATTAATTTCTAATTTGCATGCTTTTTAATTAATATATAGGTACATATAAGAAGAGACAATAAAAATGCTATGAATTAATAATGTTTATTAATCTGTTTTTGTTATGAAAAACTTATTTGGAGCAGTTTGCTGTCCTTTATATAATTGGCAGCACTGAGAAATTGCCCCTTCAAATTTATTGACTTCCATCTTCATCAGGGTCTATTTCTAGAGATTTTCCTTTAAATTCTTCAATGAACCTGAAAAAGTCTTCTAATTCTTTTTTTGTCATCTTCTATTAAATTTTTATCAATGTTATTCCAAATATCTATAATTTCTTCTTTTAATTTATTGATATTCTTAAAGACTTTGCTTTCCATTTTTCTGTTTCATTAAATTCCATATATTTTCAATAAGATTTAAATCAGGTGACTGTGGTACCCAGTCTAATAGTTTTAATTTAAAATGAATCTTATGTTATGTATATTTTCTATTTTTGGAAATTTTCCAAACATATCATAATCATTAGTATTTTAACCTGAAAATTTTATTTATAATCTTTCCATTGTAAATGCATGCATCTTTTATATTTCAGTATCTGTTAATAAATGTAAATTTCTGTATCTAATTAAATCATACATTTTTTTTTAATAAAAAATCAAACCTTCAAAATAAACATGAAAAAAATCAAAACATTCAAATCATTTTAATAGAGACAAATATTCAAATATTTATCTTTATTATCAGTTTGTATCATAAAATTTATTGATTTATAACTGTCCACTTTTTTTAACACGACTGTAATTACTTAGATAACGTAATACTTGACAAACAAAATAGTTACCCATTTTCCATTTTTAAATTTTAGAAAATTTTTAATTAATTGGTAACTATAAAAAATCAATTTTCAATTACAATAGTCAAACTAATGTTTTACTGCACTAATCGAGTATTATGCATGCACTATTCAAATTTTGGTATATAAAAATTTTAGCATACTAATTGAGGAATTCCTGCATAACCTTTTTTTATATATGAAGAACAATTTCAGAGGAAAGGAGAATAACAAAGTAGGAAAAAGTTTTCATGTGATGCATTTCATCGTTTAGAACTTCGTCAGATGAAATGAATGCTTATGTTGGTGTGATTCCATATGCACACAAAAGCGAGAGAAGACGTTGAGAAATTAACATTTCACCAGTAATACATTCTATAGTAGAATTACCAATGATACATTTTTATACCAAAATGACAATCAATACATTTTATAGTAAAATTGAAGACATGGAATACATTGTCAAAAAATGAAATAAAAAACAATCTAATTTTTTATAAAGAGAAACATGTTTCCACCCCTCAATTTGAGTTTGCAAGTTTATTTATTAAAAAAACAAACAAACGAATGTAGCTAAGTAATTATGAAATAATATAATTCTCTTGAAGTAATTATAAAGTTTGATTTTTATTATTTATATTTTGGTCTTAAATAACCCATATGGGTTGATATGTTACTAAGCAAACAAAAAAAAAAAAACAAAAAAAAAAAAGCCAACCAACAGTAAGCGTCTACCATTTTCATATGAGTGTTCTGCGAAGGGGAGATAACTATGTCAAATATACAACATTCATTCTGTCCAATACCACCACACATATCTTTGTGCAACACGGATTTTCCTCTGTGAAAGGCACAGTTGTGGCTCTTTGAAGATAGTTTATGATTTGTGTTCGTAGGTGTAAGTGATATGTCAATAATATTTGATTGATTTGTTCATTTTTTATGGCTTATCAATCACTTCCAGGTTATTCAAAGCCAAAATATCTTTTGAGATAATAATGGTTTACTGATACAAGTCTTACTAATTAACCCATAGTTGTGGGAGAAGAGGTGAATTTATATCCTTTCCCAAGAGTATTTGAATGTAAGTGAATATAATGAATCCAGTTAGAATTGTAACTCAGCTCTCAAATTAACAATTCCAAGCCATTATCCATAACACTGCCCTCATATCCAAGCTTACAGTAGCTGAAATTTCCAAATGGTCACCCATCTAGGTAGTGACCAGGCTCATAATTGCTTAACTTTGATGATTATACAGAAGCCGGTATTTAAATATGATGCAGCCATAAGCCTGATAATATTTGGTTCTTTTACATTATCATTTTCAGTTGTTGTTCGGAACATAGGCTCTTATAGAGGTTTCTCTTTAGAGGTTTAGTTGAAGACCAATGAAAATTCTTTGTTCTAGAATTTTTTACTTAATTTTTCTACAGTTTGAACCACTTTCAAGTTTCCAAAGACAATATGAATTGTGATACTATGGACACCCACATAGAAATGGGTTGGTATATATATATATATTTTTATAAATTCATGAATTATTCATACAAAAACAAATACCAAGGTTAATGATTTAATTGGCAAGAAATCCATCGTCGCAAACAATTCAAATAATATACAAAAACCCCCGAACCTGTTATGAATGAAAAGATCCTTGTTTTTATAAATTTCTGTTGCATTAGTTCTTATTTTTACAAGCTTTCGTCTGTTCCTACAGACATCTTCAGGTATGGAATAGATGTTGTTCATGTTTTTTCTCTCAGTAATGAGAGGACAACGAAAATATATGTATTGTTGTATCCGAAAAATGCTATTAGAAATGAGTTATTGTTTTTGGAGCGTGCAGTAACAATGCTGAGTTTGATTTTAAATTTTTATATATACACACACACACACAGAAAGAAAATAATAGATACTCTACTTCGATTCAGGATAATACAAAAGAAGAGAGAAAAGACCCTTCAGTATTGTTTTGCATGAATATAATCTTTACTTTACTACTTCTTGATTGTGATCTTAACCCCTTCAAAAAGTTCTTGCCCCAAAACTTACCATAATACTTTGCAGTTATCTTGATGCCATTATCAATTTTGAAGGGGCTTATATTTTTACTGACTACAATACTAGTATCAAACACCCTCCCACCTATTGTCTTTTAAGTTGTGTCAGTTAATTATTACTTATAAAGGACCTAACTTCTTACCCAGCCAAGAGGTCCTGCCAATATAGCTCTACATTCATCAATAAAAATTACTGTTGCAAAAAAACTGTTCATAATTTGTGTGCTGTTTCCTTCTTTTTTTTTTTTTTTAAGCATTTCACCCCAAGCAAGGCGGGAAGCCACTAGGATGCAAGGGGTTACAGAAAATTTAGAGCAAGATCAGATAGGAGTGATAGAAGAAAGGATGACGGTAGTGGATAGATCAAGGCAACTGGAGATGTCGATTAACATTACACTTGAATAGCTGGAGATTATAGCTCACAGGGAAACAGGAAAAGGGAAGGGATTTCCACAGGTGAGAGGTGCGAGACATGAAGCTATTAGAGTAGAAGAGACAGCTACATTTAGGAGTTTTGACAGTGAAGGGGTGAGAGCAGGATGCCAACCTCGTAAGGCGCAGGAACTCATGACGTCTGGGAACCAGCGAATGCAGCTCCTCGGAGCAATTTCCATGAAAGTATTTGTAGAACAGACAGAGGGAGGCGACGGCGCGTCTGTGAGAAAGTGACTGTAGATGAGACGCCAGGGCAGGGCCAACCATATTGCATATCCGACTCTGGAGCCTATCAAGAACCCCGAGGCAAACAGAAGGGGCACCAGACCATATATAGCAGCAATACTCCATGCACAGGTGAATTGTGGATTTGTAGATCTGGAGGATCGACTCCGAAGAGAAAAACTTCCTAGCATGGCTCAGGGAGCCAACTTTCCTTGCAGTGGACGAGGCAATTGACTCAATGTATTTATTCCATCTCAGGTCAGCAGTCAACGTGAGACCGAGAAGCCGCAGAGAGTGGCTCTCAAGAAGTTGAGCGTCAGACATTCTAATGGAGGGAAGGGAAGGATCTCTGTGGTGATTAATAGAGAGCAGTTTTGTCTTAGAAGCGTTGAAGTTGACCAGCCAATTCATGCCCCAGTTCCCAATAGATTGGAGGTCCTTTTCGAGACGCACTGCCAAGTGAGTTTTGTCAACGAGACTAGATTTGTTTTTGAGGCTGGAATAAATTGTGGTGCCATCCACGTAGATGCCAACTTGGGAAGTTACTGCGTCAGGAAGGTCATTTATGTAGATAAGGAATAGAGTGGGACCTAGGATGGAGCCTTGAGGAACACCTGCGTTCGTGGGATAGGAACTGGAGGAGAATCCATTGAGAACGACCTTCAATTTACAGTTTGACAGGAATGATCGTATTAGGTTATATAATTGACCTGTAATGCCATAACCCTGGAGCTTGTGAAGAAGGCCGGCATGCCAAACCCTATCAAATACTTTGGAGATGTCTAGTGCCATGGCTCGGGCTTCCCCGTTATTTTGGAGAGCTCGGTAGACTGTTTCAGTGATGGCCATACGCACATCGGTTGTAGATCGGGCAAAGCGGAAACAATATTGCTTGTCTGAGAGCAGATTATGGGATGTGAGGTGATTAACCACCCCGGTATTGATTAGAGCTTCGAAGACTTTGCCGAAGAGGGGAAGGAGGCTGATAGGATGGTAGGGTCAAAGACTGATTTCAAGAGATCTCATCAGAAATCCAAGTTTGTTACTTACATGTTTACCAGGGTTTCTTGTGTGACAGAATATATGTCATAATACTTGTTATTACAGAGGAGATGATAACCATGTTTTTCTGCAAATACTTCAAAAACACTTCGCCTTTCTTCAGTTATACCTGAAAAAAATATATAGTATTCATTGGTAGTAATTGTACTTATAAACATGTCTTATTACATAGAAGAGATGTATTATGTGTATGAAATTTATTGGTTGTTTTTCTAGATTCAAATAATGTTGCATATGTCAATGACTCTATTCAAAGTTATAAGTATAACAGCACCAAATATATAAAAAATAGGTTTAACTGTTTGAATAATAATGTTGATATGTCAATGATGCTTCTAAAAGTTATAATGTTAAAAACAGCAACTATATAAAGAAGAGATCTGAGCATCCAAACAATACTGTATATGTTGATGACTCTTCTAAAAGTTATAATGTTAAAAACAGCAATTTCCTTAAAGAAAAATATTTGTCATGCAAAATATATTTTTTTAATGATTAGGCTTAATGATGTACATATATAAATGATATCAAGTACACATATTTGTTCATAAGATCAGACCACAAATGCAAATTGGCATTTATGAGAATGGTTATTTTGTTTGATTCAATGATATGTCAATCCTTGTTGAATTATTTAATGACTAATTCTTGTATGTGTACTCAGAGAGTATCAAGCTCTCTGTTCAGTACTAATATTCAACCAAACTGGCCTTGTTAACCATTGACCTACACTAAAGGGACTAGTGAGAATTATGCCTGCTTATTGGTACTATATATGATGAGGGTATGTTAAAAATTATTTGCACTTTTGCCATAACATAACTGTAGGTTTGTCACATTGGCTTCTGATCATGCATGCTTCTAGTTGGTATTTTTGTGGTCACATGATCAAAGTTTGGGCATGATCACACCAGTTCTCTTGCTGCTGTTGCAGTGCAAACATGGCTGCTCCACTAGTAGTGTGTGTCAAGGAGAAACAAAGAGCAATAATGTTGATCTGCAGAGAACATGCTACCTCATTGATGATAACTCACCGGTTCGCCATTACCATCTCTCAAGCTTGCTGAATCTTCTCGTCAGTTGTGGAGGTTGACAGCCACCTACTCCTTCATAGGTCACACTTGTCCAGCCACTGTTAAACTTCTCAATCCACTCACACACACTTTACACAGTAGTGTATGTCGCTATATTGTGTTAAAAGTCTCTGATGAATTTCAGCCCTTGACACACCATCTGACCAAAGAAATCAGATCAGTGCTCTTTATTCTTCCTTGGTGCACACCACTAGTGGAGCAGCCATGTTTGTATTGTAACAGCAGCAAGAAAACTGACACAATCAAGCTCAGACTTCAATCACGGGATCACAATAGTACGCATGAGCAGAAGGCAGTGTGACAAAAAGATATACTATGCTGAAAGTGCAAATAATTTTTTACTTACCTTCATATAATGGAACAAACTATCAGGAGAATGATGATGATGATAACAACAATGATGATGATACAATTATGATGATGACTCTTACAAAAGATGGTAATTATGATGATAAAGAGAATGCTAGGGATAATGGTGGAAATATTTACAGAAATAATTGTTCCCTTACCAACAAATTCTCCCTGGTCTAACTGAATAAGGCTTGGAGTCTCCAAAAGTTGCATCAGACTCTCATTACTCAAAGAAAATTCATAGTAATAGTTCTTAATACGTGGTACCTGAAAGAGCCAATAGTAATTTTTGTTTAGAAAATAAACCTATCAAATAAACATATCTTTTTTTTTTTCCAAAACAAAATTATTAAGACTCCTGAAGTACTTGTGAGCAAGTCTCAAGTGGACACCTCCTCCTTTCTTGTAATCAGCAGTCAGTCAGTTAAGTGCCATGCATGACAGACACTTAGGCGATCATGTATCTTTTAATACATGACTGACGAGGCAGATTTTTTCCCCGCAGTAGGTTGCCATTTCTTCCTGCAGTAGACCAGTAGTCTATAGGACCTGGTCTGTCCTACTATTTACCCATAGCTGGGGTGGGGGGAGAGAAGAAGAGGATTCATACCTTTCCTAAGGGTATTAGCACGTAAGTGAATTTCAATCAGTTATGTGCTATGTGTGATACATGCTTCGGCAATCATGTATCTTTCGATACATGACTGATGAAGTAGATTTTATTCCCAGAGTAGGTTGCCATTTCTTTCTGCTGTAGACCAGTTGCCATCCAAGGCTATAGAACCCAGTCCATCCTGCTATTTACCCATAGCTGGGGGGATAAGAAGAGGATTCATACCTTTCCCAAGGGTATTAGCATGTAAGTGATTGTAATGGATTTGACTGGAATTTGAACTTGGTTCTCTGATTCCTCAATCCCAGCCACTCAAATCCATTACATTCACTTATGTGCCAATACCCTTAGGAAAGGTGTTGGGGTACACCCACCTTCTGACTGATAATGGACTGATCCCTCTGCGATATAAGTCAGTGCTAGAGGAGGGATGTGGGATCAGGTTCAGCGACAGCAGTCGAGACCAGGTTACCATTACATACCGTTGGACTGTAGACTTTTGCTATTGTTACTTACTAACCAGCGTTCGTTATTACTAATCACTCTGTTGTTAATTACCTCTTACAAATATACCAGTATTTATCCCTACAACTGTGTTTGTCTTTATTCGAATACACACACGCGGGAACACTCCCAACATCTCAATAGTGGCGACGAGTCTTCGAACGGGATAAAAAGAACTTACGTTGAAAAATAAATATCGCAACAGCGAAAGAAACAATTTCAACACAGGGAAAATTTAAGAGTTCAAGCATTTTTTCACAGCAAAGGATTGAAAAGTTTATCGACAAAAAGAAAAACCTGTAAGTTAAACATTAACTTATTGATTCTATTGGAATCTTTAATAAACAATTTATTGTGCTAAAAAAAAAAAAAAAATTGTTGTGCCAGAGAATTTGATTAATTTTTTGGCCCCCCTCAGAGAAAAAAAAACACACATAATTTTGTTTTCTTTTTTCTCTACACATACATAATCATGGAGCAATTTCAATCATCTATGCTGGAATTCATTAAGTATCAGATGCAAACACAACAAGAGAGTGAAGAACGTCTTCAGGAAAAACTATTGAATTTTCAGAAAGAATTCTGGAGCTACACTAAAAACAAAATAAAATACAAGAAGAAAATGAAAAGAAACAGTTAGCAGTATGTCTAAGCAGAAAGACTCAGATGAAAGTACTTTTTCTCAAGACACAATATGGTCGATGATCGAAAGTTTTACCTATAACCCAGAAGAGGAAAAGACTTTCGAAAGATATTATCATAAGTATCAGGACTTTTATGAAGTCGATTGCCAAACATGGACAGACGAGAAAAAGATAAGATTGTTGCTACAGAACCTTTAGAGGATACGATAATCGCATCCCTCAGAGCAGAGGACGAGGTTGAAGAAAATTTGGCGAACGCAATTCGAGAATTACCAGTATCGCTTAAGGACATCAAAAAAGAGGCAGAAAAGGACACATATATAATAGAAATAAAAGATAAGCTAGCTAGTAAAGACGAAAAAATTCAAGAGACATTCTCTCTGTGCGATAATGTGCTAATATACAGTGAAAGGGTAGTAATCCCTAGCACACTCCAAAAAAGAATACTGAAAGATTTTCATGCTGGTCACCCGGGCATAAATAGAATGAAGAGCCTCATGAGAGCATATGTCTACTGGCCAGGTATGGACAACGACATCGTGTCTATGGTCGGCAGATGTAAAGGCTGCATTTTGGCATCAAAATCACCACAAATTCTACAGAAGCCATGGCCAAAAACCGACAGACCATGGTCAAGGATTCATATTGATTTTGCGGGTCCAATTGACGGGTGGCATTATTTGGTCGTAGTAGACAGCTTTAGTAAATGGCCCGAAGTTTTCCAAATGAAGAGGCCAACATCTCAAAATACAATAAATGAATTACATGAATTATTTGCAAGGTTTGGATACTGTAGTTAGCGACAACGGTACTCAATTCACGAGCAAAGAATTCGCAGAATTCTGCCAAAATTTCCAAGTTGATCACGTGAGGATTCCTCCATATCACCCATGCAGCAATGGACTAGCTGAAAGGTTTGTCGATACGCTGAAAAGGGGTCTTAGAAAAGCAACGGGTACCCCAACTAGAAAGGCATTACAGCTATTCCTGTAAGTATACCACATTACTCTGAATAAATCAGCCCCATCAAGCCTATCACCTGCGGAGCTAATGTTTGCAAGGAAGATCAGATCTGCATTTGATAAGTTGATACCTGAAAATAAGGTACACACACCAGTCGCTATGGTTCCTAAACGAAAATTCCACATAAATGAAAAAGTTTTTTTCAAGAACTACAAAAATAATTCGACATCGTGGGAACCAGGAGTCATACAAAAGCGGATTGGGAATATGGTGTACATTGTACAAGAGAAAAACTTTACCCATAAAAAAAGGCACATCAACCAGCTAAAAAAAGGAGTAATCAAGAATCGGAAAAACTCCGCAAGAAGAAAACAACACGATTTATACGATACTTTTGATTTATAAGTACCACAGACAGCGCAAAACAGCGCAGATCTGGTAGAGTTTAAAAGCGACACAACAATTCATAATGGACCCAAAAAGGAAAAAATATTGAAAAAAAAAATTTTTTTTCACAATGTAAAAAAAACAATTGGGGGGGGGTTGGCGTCCACCTTCTGATTGATAATGGACTTATCCCTCTACGATATAAGGCAGTGCTAGAGAGAGTAGTAGTGTAGGGTGAAGGTGTAGTGTGAAGGGATCAGGTTACCATTACATACCGTTGGACTGTAGACTTTTGTTATTGTTACTTACTAACTGGCGTTCCTTATTACTAATCACTCTGTTGTTAATTACCTCTTACACACATACCAGTATTTATCCCTACAACTGTGTTTGTCTTTATTCGAATACACACACGCGGGAACACTCCCAACATCTCAACAAAAGGCATAAATCCTCTTCTTCTCCCCCACCCAGCTATGGGTAAATAGCAGGACAGACTGGGTTCTATAGTCTTGGATGGCAACTGGTCTACAGCAGAAAGAAATGGCAACCTACTATGACAAAAAAATCTGCCTCATCAGTCACGTATCGAAAGATACATGATTGCCTAAGCGTGTATCACGCATGGTACATAACTGACTTTTAATCAGCACCTACATGTAAGTTAAGGATGGAGTCCTCTTCATTACCCACTTTTACAAATCGCCATATTGATTTATCCAATGTGTTCCATATTGGTCAGACTACTTAAGATGTTGTCCTGTCTAAAGCCAACAAAAGAAAAATAGCTGGACTCAAGTGGGAAGAAAAGCCATAGAAGAGAGTTCCATTTGAAAAAAATTCAATTTTTTTCACTAAGTCCAAGAGCCGAAAATCAACTAGCACAGACTGCATTCTTCGAAATAGCTATATCAGTTTCAAACCCATCTATGACATGCACATTGTACACCAATACACACACACACAAAAAAAATAAAGGTGACAGCTTTGCATTGGAATTGCAATTTACATCTATAAACAGCAGAACAACAACCTGCAGGAAAAAAAAACTTGACTTTTGTCAATCCCTGTCACAATATTTGCAAGCTACAGGTGGAGGAAATGGAACAGATACTCAGTGACTTTACTGAGCGACCCAGGAATGTTGACATTATATGTCAGCCCATTTCACGAAATAAACATAGGAAGAACATGTACATAAGCATCATTGAACCAATCTTCAGAAAGGTCAACATACAGATTGACTATACTGTGTTCAGTTTGAAATACTAACATAATATCACCTGAAAAAGTCTGGAGTGTACAACAGCTGAAAAGTTGTGAATTTGTCAATAAAGATAAAGACAACAGTCCGAAGAATGTAAATAGCATAAATAGTTACAATAGCTCCAATGAGAAACATAGACAAAATTATTAATCTTCACATTTCTTGTGTTTTCCTATCAGATATTTTTATACACTTTCTACACTGTTATACTCTTCTTTATTGGCTCATTCACGCTGTTTCTTTGCTGTATGTTCTGGCTTTCAAACAAACCCTTTAAAACAGTCCATGGAGATAGATTTTTGTAATTCAACATACTATTTGGATGCCTCAATTTCTGTAAATTCACCTTAGCTGTAAGAAAACAGGATTTATTGGTGGTTCTTTGGATCATACCATCAATAGACATGAGATTGATCCTCACTGGGTGCATTGCTTAGGAAATAGCTGTAAGAAGGAAGGTTTGAGGTTATTTGGATCATACCACCAAGAGACATGAGTTTGATCCTTACTGTATGTCTTGCAAATCGTGGAAACAAAATTGATATAATGAAATATGCGTACACCTGTGTTCCCCCTCACTGGAGTGTGATTGGCTGGTATCTATCATAAATATCGACGGACGTGTAGGAGAGTCAGAGAAGAGAGCCTTAGTCTGAGAGCTAAGACCATAACAACGCTCATTGGACTACGCCATTGATCTACACTTCTTACCTGCGACTACAACGCATACTAGTCGATTACTGCTACCATATTCTACTTGGTTATAGTAGCCAAAACCACTTAGCTACTTTGTTCAAATATATCCCTTTCCAGGACATATCAGAAATAAAGTGAATCAAATTTCTTTGTAAATAAATTACAAACTGTTTTACCTCAGGTATTTACCATCAGTGCCAGAAGTCAGTGCTCAAGTCCAGGTTAAAGACCAAATTTCAAGTAAGAAAGTCTTTTGCAACATGTAGAAGGGACAGAATTTTAAATACATACTTACCGGTGTATTTGTCCAGTCCCACTTGATTACGAAAGCATTGAAATTGGGCCAGTTATCAACCCAAACTTCAAATTTTCCAAAATTGTAGTCAGTTGTTGTCATCTGAATTGTGTTCTTCACCTGCATCATAAAAAATAAAAATATTCCAAACTAATATTCACCCAATACAAGGGCCAAGAGCCACTCAAGATAGAGGCTTACTGTGTAGTGTTGTATGTGCATAAGAAATGTAGTTCATGGGTTATACAGGAATGATAACTGTTAGCCCTAGACTTGAAGACGTCAAGATTGTAGTGATTACAGAAACGTCCTACCAGGATTCCTCAAAGCACCAGTCCTTGGGAAGAAGCTGTTTGAGTGGAAATTAAGTCTTACTGATGGAATACAAAGGGAGTGGGAATGATTTACACCTGTCCATGAGGTATGGTAAAACCAAATTATAAAAGCCAGGACTGGTGGAACAAAAGAATATAGCTCGTCAGAACATGGCATGGAAATAGCAAGAGCAGCGATATATTTTTTTTTTTTTTTTTTAAGCATTATGCCCCAAGCAAGGCGTGAAACCACTAGGATGCAGGGGTTTGCAGAAGATTTGGAGCAAGAACAGATAGGAGTGATAGAAGAAAGGATGAGGAGAGGGATAGTGGATAGATCAAGGCAACTGGAGATGTCGATTGACATTACATTTGAATAGTTGGAGATTATAGCTCTCAGGGAAACAGTAATAGGGAAGGGAGTTCCACAGGCGAGATGTGCGAGGTATGAAGCTATTGGAGTAGAAGAGAAGGCTACATTTAAAAGTTTCTACAGTGAAAGGGTGAGAGCGGGATGCCAGCCTCGTAAGGCGCTTGAATTCATGAAGTCTGGGAACTAGTGAAAGCAGCTCATCGGAACAATTACCATGAAAGTACTTGTAAAAAAGACAGAGAGAGGCGACGGCACGTCTGTGAGAGAGCAACTGTAGATGAGATGCCAGATCAGGGCCAATTATATTACATATCCGCCTCTGGATCTTGTCATGAACTCCAAGGTAAACAGAATGTGCACCAGACCATATATGGCAGCAATACTCCATGCAAGGGCGAATGGTTGATTTGTATATTTGAAGTATCGATTCTGGGGAGAAAAATTTCCTGGCGTGGCACAGACAGCCAACTTTCCTCGCGGTGGACGAAGCAATGGACTCAATGTATTTGTCAGCAGTCAACGTGAGACCAAGCAGATGCAGAGAGTTGCTCTCAAGAAGTTGACTATCAGACATTCTAATGGAGGGCAGGGAAGGATCTCTATGGTGATTAATAGGCAGTAGTTTAGTTTTTGAGGCATTAAAGTCTTACCCCAATTAACAACCGATTGGAGGTCCATTTCAAGATGAGCGGCCAGGTTAGTTTTGTCAGCGACACTAGATTTGTTTTTGAGGCAGGAGTAAATTGTGTTCGCAACATTTTGTCTGTGAGAAAGGGGTTGTAGAATGAAAAATAATTCATCACCTACAAGGATGCTTTGATGCTTTTGAACTCTATCAAGACAGGCAAGTGAGTATTGTGTAGCTCTAGCCCAGATATGGCATCAATGTTCCATTTTTGTCTGATCTGGCTCTTGTAAAGATAGAGTATGGCAGGGGGGAGTCAGATACTTACTGGAGTGGCACAATGAACCAGCCATTTTTCCAGCACCCTTAGCAATAGATCAGATATATGGGTTCCACGAGGTCTGAGAAGAGCTTGAGTCCCAATAGACATCCAAGACAAGGAGCATCCTTGAGAGAACACCCATCCATCATTATAGGTGAAAGTTCAGGGTCTGCTTGGTGGAGGTGCATTGAATTTTACAAACCAGACCTTCTCTCATTGAGAAATTGGACTTTTTTTTAAAGCAAGGCAATAAAGCCATTAAGATACAAGGGGATAATGAGTGTAACATTATTAAGGACAATAAAAGAACAGTAATTAAGAAGACAGAAGATAATGTCTGATATTGGATTTAAATTTTTGAAGATCAAGGTTGACTTCAAAGCAAGAAGCCAGAAGAGATTTTCATTTCAACTGTAAATGAGACCTTACTGCCAATGTAGTACTGCGTTTAAATTCATAAAGTTTAGGTACACTTGAGGAAAGTTCATCACGACAATTACCATGAAAGTATTTATAGAAAAGGCTAAGGAAAGTGACTGATGGTGAGATGCCAGATCAGGACCAATAACATTACAGATTCTTTGGATTTTATCAAGAATCTCTGAATATATTGCAGAAACACCAGACAAGATGTGTTAGCAATATTCAAAGTAAGGATGAATGGTAGACTTAGAAATATATAAGATAGATTCTGTTGAGAAAAATTGTCTAGCATAATAGAACTTTTCTAGCAGCAGGTCTAGTAATTGCCAGAGGAGAGATGAGGTGCTCGGTTCTGGTTTTCCAGATTTTTGGAGGAGCGCCTATGAGGGTAAGTCAAAAAATTATCTGTACTTTCGCTGTAATATATCTTCAGGTTTGTCACACTGCCTTCTGCACATGCGTGCTTATAATTGGTACTATAATGGTCACGTGATCAAAGTCTAAGCTGAATGGTGCCAGCTTTCTGCTGTTACCGGATTTATTTTTATTCCAATATTTTTAATACTTAAAAAATCATTTTTAGTGGATAACCATGTTTAAAATAGATGCCCTATTTTTCTTGATTGTGCAAGCTGGTATAACTAATAAACACTGTTTAAAAATAAAATAATAAGATTTTATTTCAAACACAGGTATTCACTAAAAATAACATTTGAAGTAATAAAAATGTCAGATTAAAAATAAATCCACTAACTCTATAGAAATGATCTTCATTATGAAATAATTACTAAGTTTGGCATCGTAAGACACAATTTTGTTACATATATATGTGACAAAATTGGATTTTTTGGTGGACTCTCTCACTGTATTCAACGTATGAGAGTCAAGCAGCTCAGTTCCTAAGAACAAACAGCCAGACACTAGCACATATGATTTGATTATAGTGATGAAGGCTTTGTGCAGAACCAACCATACTTTTTGAAGAGCCGAATACAAAGACCTGGTGCACTACCTGCCACAATGTCCCCAAATGACCCTCCACAGATTTTGATTCAGAGTTGTCCTTCTCCTAGACCAGTTGCCATCCAAGGCTATAGAACCCAGTCTGCCCTGCTATTTAATTGTAGCTAGAGGGAGAAGAAGAGGATTAATACCTTTCCCAAGGGTATTGTAAGTGAATGTAATGGATTCGACTGGAATTCGAATTCGACTCTCCGATCTGAATTTTTTATGTAGTCTTTATTATAAGTTTGGAACATGTATTTCTTTGTTTTTTTCTCATATTCTGCAAATGATCTTGAAGAACAATGTTTCATAGCATCTTTGGTTCCTAGTAACTCTGGTCATCCTTAAAATCATTATTATCTCCCCAAAATTCTTACACTCTAAAATATTTTCTGGTTTTAAATAACCCACAAAATGTTGATAATCCATAAAAAGCAAATCAATCAATCACTCTTGGAAATGATAGTCACAGTTTTCTGATGCTTTCTTTGAAGTTCGTCTGAAGGATCACAGGTTATAGAATTCTTTCTATAATGCAATTTCAGCAAGTTTGTCTGAAGGACCACAGGTTTGATTGATTAATTAATTTGTTTTTTATGGTTCATCAACCTTTTGTGGGTTATTTAAAGCCAAAACATATTTCTGATTGTAGGAAAGCACACTACTGAGTGTACCGAAGTGGTCCCTGATCTAAGTACTGAGTAGGCTCAATACTGCTTAACTTAAACAGGTACGCTGGCTGAAGAGCGAGAGGCAAACCAAGAAGACACTGGAGTGACACAGTGGCAGACATTCTCAGAGCCCATGAGATATCTCTCCATCAAGCAACTCACCTTGCCACTGTCAGATGACTGTGTCTCCCTGTGACACCTAACAGAACAAGCAGAAGGAAAAACAAACAAGCATATGCACAAAACACAAGTCTGCTCAGGTTGTGTGTGTGTGTGTGTGTGTGTGTACGTTTATATATTGGATCGGATTTCCTACATTTTTCAACCGTTTTCAACAAAACTTCACAGGACTATGTAAAATTACCTTACGGTGGTTCGGACAGCACCAAAAATTGGAAAAACACAATTGTTTTTGCATGAAATCAATTTGAAAACACGATTAAGAATGAAAGGGGGACAACTCATATCAAAGTTATACTTATAAAACCCAGGTTGTTTGTGTGTGTGTGTCTGTGTGTGTATGTGTTCATTTATATATGGGGTCGGATTGCCTACATTTTTCAACTGATTTCAACAAAACTTCACTTTTTTTTTGCAGTTAGTGTTTCTTATTGTCTTGCACACTTTCTTCTTTATTTTTACATTCAGAATGCTTTAAAAATTCCATTTACAAGACAATTGTTTATAATAAAATTCTATTCAATCGGTAGAGACTCATAACGATTGAAAACAATGTTTTTGTTTGAGTTTGGGTTTGACCAATTAAAAAAAAAAAACCACTAATTACGACATTCTTGGCGTCCGTCAACCTTAAACAATAATTTTGTCAATTTTATTTTTCAGTCTTTATGATGGTTGATACTTGATCTACCTCTTACTGTTACATCCCCGGGCAATGCCGGGCTCTACTGCTAGTATTTATTAGGTTGGTGCAAAAATAATGTCGTTTTCTCACATATGTTACTTTTTATATATGATTTCTGAATTAATTCATTGATATATATAGCCATGTTATATATCATTTTTTTTGCTTTTTTCGCCTATCAAATCAGGTTATTCGTTACCATTCTCAATCTCTTCATTCATTTTTTTGCAGGCTTTTTCGACAGCATGGACAAAATTCAAATCCACGATTTTCTTGTTCCAGTTCAAACTAGGCTTGAAAGCTGCCGAGACAGCTCATGATATCAATGAGGCACAAACAATTGTTCAAGAAATTTCGCATGGTGATGAGAGCCTCAAGATGAAGACGGTCGCGGCTGGCCAACTGCAGTTTATAACGAACATTTGAAAGCCTTAATTGAAGCCCCATCCTCGCAAAACCACATACCAGAAGTTGCTGTTGAACTTTAGGTCGTTCACTCAACAGTCGTTTTGCCATTTAAAGCAAATAGGGAAGTCAAAATGTTGGATAAATGGGTGCCAATGAATTGAACAATAATCAAAAAATCGTCGTTTTGAGGTGTTTTTCTACGCTCCTTCTGCATAACAAAAACGACCCATTTCTCTCGAGCAGATTGTGACGTGTGATGAGAAGTGGATCCTCACAACACCCGGCGACGTGGTGGTTGGATGCCGGAGAAGCTCCAAACGTTTCCCGAAGCCGAAATTGCACCAAAAAAAGGTTATGGTGACTGTTTGGTGGTCTGTGGCTGGTTTCATTCATCACAGCTTCTTGAATCGGGCGAAACGATTACGAAATGCACCAGAAGCTCCAACGTATGTGCCTGAGATTGGTCAATATAAAGGAACCAATTCTCCTCCATGACAACGCTCGCCAAGATGTTGCTCAATTGACCCTGCAGAAGCTGAACGAATTGGGCTACGAGAATAAAATTCATCCGGGCCATATTCACCGGACCTAATTTCCCACTGATTATCACTTTTTCAAGCATCTCGACAACTTCCTTGAAAAAATGCTTCAAAAGCCGAGATGATGCCAAATCGGCCTTCAATGACTTCATCGCTTCCAGAACTCCAGATTTCTATGCTAATGGGATAAATAAACTTGTTTCTTGTTGGCAAAAATGTGTCGATTCTAATGGTTCTTATTTCGATTAATAAAGTTTATTATGAAAGGAGTTATGATCTTTTGAAGTTGAACGTCAAAAAACGACATTATTTTTGCACCAACCTAATATATATAGGAAACTGAATTGTTCTTTTATAGCCTCAAATATAGTGTTAAAATGAAAATCCTAGAATCAATTTTTATTTCTTTTCCACTGCTCCCTATTAATCATATGATTGACCTCTTGCTCCCTTTCATCAGCATGGCTGATGCTAACCTCCAGGAGAGTCACTTGTTGCACCTACTCGAGCTAATATTTTCTGCTGACATAAAGTGTAAAGATTATATGGAATCAATTGCTAGGTTTGAAAGTTGGTTCACTGTGCCATGCTAGACAATTTTTATCACCAGAATCTATTGTATATAACTCTCCCATTCATCCATGCTTTGAATACTGCTGCCACATCTAGTCTGGTGCTCTTGCTATACATTTAGAGATTCTTGATAAAATCCAAAGAAAAATCTGCAATGTTATGGGTCCTGACCAGGCATCTTACCATCAGTCATTTTCCTACCACCAGAATGTAACTTCCCTGAGACTTTTCTATAAATACTTTCATGGTTATTGTTTTGATGACCTTTACTCTGTAGTACATAGACTTTATGAATTTAAGCACAGTACTAGATTGGCAGCAAGGTCTCATTATTTTAGAGTTGAAATGGCCAGATGCAACTGCATGTTCTATGCTAACAGTTTCTTCTATCAGACTTCTCTCTTGTGGAAATCTCTTCCAGCTTCTGCTTCCCAGTCAAATTTGATCTTCAAAAATTTAAATGTAATGTCAATTGTCATCTTGTTTTCTTAATTCTTGTTCTTTTATTATCCTTTCTCATAACATTACTTTTTTATCATATTCTCGGTTACTCAGTAACCCCTTGCATCTTAGTGGCTTTATTGTCTTGTTTGGGGTGAAATGATTATAAAACAATCCACTTCACCCCAATCTTATAAAGAATATATGATCTGGACAAGGAACATAATTCAAGACCATACCCTAATTGTCAGAATTTTTGTTTGAAATGACCCAAACTATGTGGGGTTGGTTTGAACACTGTGGGTGGGGGATCATGGCAGTGATGGATTGCTTTTGTCTAAATTTTGATATCAGACAGAAAAATGCAAGGAAACAGGCAACACAGTTGCAGCAGTAGAGTAATCAAGAACGGTGCTGATCCTCATCCAAGCCTTCTTCTCCGAGAGTGTATCCATGTTTTCAGCTGAAATGCTTTAAAGTGAATTACAGTCTAATGAAAATTCAAAGTGGTGATAAAATTATGCATGCAGAGTAGCTAGTATGCTGGCCGACTCTCTTTCTTGTGAGTCCTCCAAGAAACGCTGACTATTATATCACTCTCCAACATAAAGCGAGATGAAAGAAATGAGAACTGTATATGACTGATTCAGTTTGTTGGTGCAGTGTTGGTGTCCCAACTGAGGAACTGCAGCCACAATCCAGAAACAAGACGCAATGCAACAAATTATCTGTTAATCTATTGGCAGGAAGGAAAATTTCTTTTACCATTTTGCAATATAATAAAGAACCTTACAACAATAATGAAAAATGTTAATCAAGAGTTAACTTACCAGCAAAGCTTTGGCTCCATATTCATTTAAAACCTTGAGTAAATCTTTTATTTCAATGGGGGAAAGGCACACAGGTGACATTATGGAAATTGTAAAACTTTTGCTGACAGTTAAAACAAACCAAAAAATCAACAAAAAAACTATCCTTGGTGAGAAATGTTAGTATCACCTCAGTTTGAACAAGGAAAGTGGTCTGCAGTTTTGTAGTGTAGACGAAAGATGGAAATATCTGGAAAAACAAAAATAAATAAAAGAATTTTTAGCGAGCACTTTTGTGACACAATGAGATTATTAACTGCCACTTAAAAATTATTAAGAAGAGAATCTTTACTTTTCTAACAAAATTCACTCAAGAATATGATTTTGTCGAAAACAAATTATTTTCCTAGAATTTGATTATTTTAAAGGTCACTGGGTTTAATAAGTTCAAGTCTGTCAAAATTCAAAACACCTATTGTTTATT